TAAATATCATTTATTGCTCATAATTGCCTCATTAAGACAGAGACATTATATATTCTCCTAGAATCAACTATAAAAGGGGAAAGACTCAACATCTGTAAGGACACGAAATACTATTGAGATCTTACTGAAATACAAAACTATTTACTGCTTTACCATCATTCTCAAAAATATTTTATTTTCGTCTCCTGATTATCAGTAACCCGAATTTCTTTCTAGCTTTGACCAAAGACTCAGATTTTTGGTTAAACAATATGGAAGAATCAACGAGCAACCTAAGCCCTGCTAATAGTCATGAGAGGGATGATTCAACGAGAAACATAAGTATGAATATGATTATCTGGAACTACAGGGGCGCGAGTAGCGTAGAATTTAGAAGAGCATTCTGAGCAATGTTGGATTACCATAGGCCAAACATCGTCTCCCTATTGGAAACTAGGCTTGAGGATCACTACAACTTGGTGCATGACTTTGGGTACACAAGCCTCAAACAATACCAGCCAATGGGAACTCAGGAGGCATCGTACTCGTATAGAACAATGGAGAAACCATGGTAGATCAAATTGGAGGTACTGACCAAGAGATACACGCCATGGTAAATGTACATAACTCAACCAAAAAATGGTTATGCTCTATCATTTATGCTAGTAATCTACTAGAAGAAAGGCTCATCCTATGTCAAAACCTTAAAACGGGATCTGATAACTACAAGGGACCGTGGCTAGTCGCGGGAGACTTCAATGAAGTCACTCGTGCCTCGGAAAAATTTGGAGGCTTGCAAGTCAAAATCAATAGAATATCACACTTTATTGATTGCATGAACCACTGTAGTCTCCTAAATCTAGGGTTCAAGGGCCAAAAATTTACATGGACTAACAAAAGAAAGAAATGTAAAACACTAATAATGGAACGGTAAGATAGACGCATAGCAAACAGTGAATGGTTAGAATTATTTCAGGAAGCAAGTGTCGAACACCTTACTAGATTCCATTTAGACCACTACCCTATAAAATTAGAACTATACAAGAATTTTCCTAAAAAGAGTAATATTTTCATAATCGAATCCATGTGGTTATCTCATCCTACCTTTCGAACCCTAGTCAACAACTCCTGGATAGACCAACCTGATATAGTTAAAGCCATAGATAACTTCTCAACTCAAGTAATTGACTGGGAAAAAAACACCTTTGATAATATTTTTAAATGAAAAAACAAAATCCTGGCCAGACTAAAGGGAATTCAAAACTCTCCAAATTATCCCAATACTCAGTTCCTCATTAACCTAGAAAATGATCTCTGTAATGAGTATAATTTTGTACTTATGCAAGAAGAGGAGTTTTGAAAGTTAAAATCTAGGGTGCAATGGATTCAGGACGGAGACGCAAACACAAAATTCTTCCATATTACCACGATACAACAAAGAAGGAAGAATAGAATTCTTTGTCTAAAAGATGAAGCAGGGAACTGGTTCCAAGACCACAACCTCATTAAGGACTTAATTATAAATTATTACAAAAAGCTTTACATTACAAGTCATAACCAATCCTTACATAACAATAACTACATGTCCGACAACATTAAAATTAGAGATCAAGATCACCCCTACCTAAGTAGCATCCCCTCAGTAAAAGTAATAAAAAATGCCTTGGATTCCTTCAAACCTTACAAATCCTCAGGACCAGATGGTCTAAATCCTTTCTTTTACTAAAAGTACTGGAAGGAAACCAGTAGTCAGCTCAGAAAATTTTGTCAAGACTCCTTCGCGTCTAAAAAAAATTCTTAAGAGCATGAATAACACGTTTGTTTGACTTATCCCTAAGCGCTAGAATGCTGAAACCATTAGACAGTTTAGACCTATTAGCTTGGGCAAAGCCGCTTATAAAGTCTTCACTAAAATAATCGTTAATCGAATAAAGCCTTTCCTAGCTAACCGCATTCACCCTACTCAAACTACTTTTATCAAGGGTAGGAGAGCATCAGACAATGTCATAATCATTAATGGAGTCCTGGATCATCTTAAGAAAATAAATGTAAAAAGAACTAAAATGATGATCAAAATCTACCTAGAGAAAGATTTTGACAAAATCGAGTGGTCTTTTGTTTGATTCTCGCTCATCTCCCTTAATTTCCCCTCAGATCTTGTTGAAATTATAATTTCTTGCATCTCCACTACTACCACCTCAATCCTTATCAATGGATCAAAAATCAAATTTTTTGAGCTATCCAGGGGTATTAGATAAAGGGATCCCCTGTGTCCGTATATTTTTATCATATGTATGAAAATGCTTTCTAGACTAATATACCATGAAATTGACTGTTGTAGATGGACACCAATCAAAATATTCCCAAAGGCCGAGTGCTCTCGCACCTATTCTTCGTAGATAACCTTATTCTCTTATTTGAAGTCAACCAAAAAAGTTGTAACTCAATCATAGATACGCTCAGCAAATTTTGTGGCTTTTCAGGACAGTCAATCAACTTCACAAAATCTAAAATAATCTTTTCAAAAAACACTCTCACTGATAATAAGGACCACATTAGCAACTACTTTTCAATGAGACATGGTAACAACTTTAGAAGGTACCTAAGATTTCCTATGCCCAATGCCAGACCCACTAAGAAAAAATTTCAATTTATTCTAGACCGATGAATACTAGACTAAAGGTTTGGAAAACTAAATTCCTAAATATGGCCGGTAGAACAACCCTTATTAAAGCAACCTTAGCAGCAATTCCAACCATGTTATGCAAATATATGATCTCCCTAAAATAACCCTCAATAAAATATACTCAATCCAAAGGAACTTCTTATGGGGTAGCACAGATAAAAAAAAATGTCACCTTGTTAGATGGAGTATTGTCACAATGCTTAAGAAGCAAGAAGGCCTGGGTATCCCCAATACTCACTGGAAAAAATCTTCCTTCAACACTGCTCTAACTTGGCGGTATAAAAAAGAAAAAGAGGCACTATGGGTAGCAAGTACGAGCATAAGAAAGCCCAATATATAGGATCTCATGTTTGGAAAATTATAAGGAAAGGCTCTACTATAGGTGACGCGAATACCAAATGGCTAGTAGGGAATGGGATGTCCATAAATATCTGGCAAGACAAATGGATTAACCAACTAGGAAACCTTAGGAACTATATACAAGGACCTATCCCAGCCAATGAACTGGACCTAAAGCTTGCTAGCATAATTAGATATGAAGAGACCTCTCCTTTGAGCTTCCCCCAGACATAATCTCCAAGATCAACAACACTTATATAAAGAAAACCTTGCCCGCAATAGACTCCTATGCCTGGAACTCGAAAGGACATAATTGCTCCTCCACAAAGGCTGCCTACGAAGCGATCTCAGGCTATAGGGACACTAATAAAAATTATTACTCTTGACTCTGGAAAATAAATTCCCTGAACAAATTAATATACTTCCTATGGACCGTCGCAAGGAATAGATTGCCTACTAAATACATGCTCGCAAAAAGGGAGATCTGCCACATTGACACCTGTAGCATCTGTAATATGGAGACTGAGAATATAGAACATATCTTCTTCAAATGCTCCTACTCTAGGTCTATATGGGCGCAAACTAAGACTGCAGATAGCTACCCTCTAGACTCGAATGATGAAGACTCCATGTTCAATTGGCTAAAAAACAACTTGCCTCAAGGAAACCCTTCAATAACCTTATCATGTGGGCTGACTTCCTCCCCTTTCTACTATGGTATATTTGGGAAACAAACTTCCTTCCACCATTAGCCTAACCTATAAATAAAACTATGGAATTCATCTTTCTAGCTAAAAACCTAGGTAGTAAACTATTCAAGAGAACCATTCTCGTAAAATGGGAGCCACCTGCTGTAAACTTCTATAAACTGAATATTGATGGTTCGTGCGCGAGAAACCCAGGGGTAGGAGGATTAGGAAGAGTGTTCAGGGATAGTAGTGGCCAATGGATTGTGGGATTTAATATGAGAATTCAACACACTACTAAATATATACATGGAAACATTGGCCGTTTTCAATGGAGTCAAAATAGCACTAGAAAAGAATCTCCTTCCAATAGTAATTGAGACTGACTGCTTAGAACTAATCAATCTTCTTATCTCTAACAATTGTCTCTATCAAAATTCGATTGATGATTGCAGGTGCCTATTGTGGATCGCGAATGATCCTCCTCTAAAGCGTGTTTTTAGATAGGCTAATGGAGTAGCGGATCTATTAGCTAAAGATGGATGTAATCTGAAAGTTTTTGAGATTTTGCTTACTTATGTTTCTCCTCCTGCTTTTGTATCCCATGTACTGGAAAAAGACAGACTAGGTACTATGTTACCTAGACTGACCTTTCATTGTAATTATACTTAGTATGTTTGTGATTGAATAAAATCCTTCATTACCAAAAAGAAAAAAAAATTAAGTTACCCTATGCGAAAATGAATGCTCATCTAACCCAACTCGTTTAATATGACCAATCGTTACCCATGTGACACACCTAATCTTAGTAAAAAGATTTTTTGCTTTAAATCCCACATGGGGATGTGCCATGTGTCACATGCATATTGGATACGTAAATTGTTGAAGCTATTAATTTCACTTGAACACCGTATTAAAAAGTGCACAATGTGTCTTGCGGAGTTACAATTTAAAATATATGTTTTAAACTTGTTATCGAATTTATAATTTGTTTTATTTATTGGATTTTTAATTAAATATTATACATATAATTCCTAATAAAAATATAAGATCTTAGAAAATATTACTGAATTTGTCCAGATAATCTGTTTCCATCAATTTTCTTATGAAGATGTGAAGTGCTTTGCTAAATTCTTGCAAAATTTGAAAGATCAACCGGATATAATGAAGAACGAGTGGTTTAATGGCAACATCAAAAGATTAACATAACGTAAATCAATTCTCTCTTTTCTTGCTTTTTGCTTCTCTCTTTTTTTTTTTTTTTTTTTTTTTTTTTTTTTGAAAGTAAAAGAAAAGTAACATTCTTTATAAAAACAAACCGAAAATGTAAATGAAAAAAAGAAAAGAAAAGAAAAAGAAATCTAAGCTTGGTAAAGCAGTCTTCATTAGTCCTTAGAAGCAAGCGTCCAACACACAGCAGCAACACAAAGCAGCAAAACTGAAACATCATATCAATATGTTAAACACCTATATAAGCAGCTCTTGTTTTGTTCACACATGAATTTTCTTGCTAAGACTAATTCATAATTTAGGGTCAGTAGATTTAGAACAAATAATCTTATAAATAATTTGAATCGAAAGCAATGAATTCAATACCATCGATAAATAAACTCAAATTTTAAAGGCTTGTGATTTTTCTTTGAGTAACCTAACAAAAGCTATTGTAAAATTTCACTTGATAAAATTTAAGGGTCTGGCTCTTGGAATTTGAATAACCTTAGCTTATAGGCGTGTTTTAGAAAAATAATTTTGAATAGTTTATCTAGAAAAGAATTGTAACTGAATTCTTATGTGGATAAGCAATTATTTTGAAATCAGTAGAAATCATTTCAAACTCCTTTTTTTTTCCTGAAAATTTTTTATTGGGCTGTCTAATGTAGCTAAACCTATTATAAGATCTAAGTTATTTTTATCATATTACAAATAAAGCTCATCATACAAAATTTTCTATAATTACCTTGTAAGTATAGTTTTGCCGTATTTCCTGTACATATAATATAAATTTACGGATTTAACTTATATACACTTGTCATTACTTTTAAATGGTTGTATAGCAAACAACTCTATGCAAATAATTAATCAATACAAAAGAAATAAAAAAGCTATAATTATGATTAGGGTACTAAATTACCAGCCTTTCCAGAAACCGTCGCCCCTGGTCTGAGTTTTGGCCGGAACGGGGGAATTTCCGTGATCGTACTCCCCCATCGGATAACCAGCCGGCGGCGGAGGAGCCACGTAGGCACTTTGTGCCTGTTGTGGATATGGACACGCAGTCTCTGGTGGAGGATAAGTTCCTGAAAATTATTCAAAACAACATACTATAATCATAGGCGTATCCAAAATTTGAAAATTTGAAGTCTATAGGTTCTTAAGCAACCTCAAGTTGATATACTATAATAATTAGGTAACAGTTTTTTACAGATAATTAGTGGATTTCCTTAATTATATACTGATATGTTGTATTGTATGTAGAATTTTATATTGTGTATATAGTTAAAAATTATTTTTCATATGTGTACATTAAATTTCGAACACCATTCGAGAAATTTCTGATTTTGCCCCTGTATGTATATATAAGGTGTACACGAAAGGCACGCGACTCATTTTAGTTTAAGAAATTCCTGACGGCCCTTGATTGCCACCGAAGAGTGACAAACATAGGCGAAACCAAAAATTTGAAATAAGTATTATCTTAATTTAAGAAAAATTACCTTGAGAATGGTTGTTATTGTAGCTACTCATGCTCGAGAAAGAATGACAAAAAAGACGCTAAAAATCAATAAAGACTTGATTTTCTTCTTGAAAAATATATATAAACTAGTTGGGTATGAATGTATATATAGAATTATAGATGTTGGAATAGGGATTTTATTTTTTTCTTTTTGAAGAAGAATAACAAGACGATTTTTTGGATAGAATAAAGGAAAGATACCAATTAGTACGAGTGGAAATTAACAATTAGTAGGAGTACAAAGCAAAAGAAAAACGCCAAATGGTTAAGGCTTTAAGAAATATGCAGGCCAAACGGCAAAACTACCACACTTCTTCCTTAATTTCAATTTTAAAGCCGTTTTAGCTTTTAATGAGAATTTATTAAGCTGGTTCAGTATTTAATTTGCATTAATTAACGTTTCATTAATTATTGTTTAAGAAGATAACTCATTGACATTTGGTCGTCATTACGTAATGGTGCTGACCGGAATACATAAGTGGTAAGAAACGCGTTTTCAAGTCCACTTTAATTGATTTTTGAGATATCAAGAATGAGTTATATTCTTTTTTCCAAAGTTGCCCTTGGAGTAAAACACCCAGGAATATCTGTTATATTTCCGTTGGACAAAATAAAAAGATAGTAAAGGTTCATATGGTCAATTTTATTGTTAATTAATGCTAAAATTTGAATTCTTTAATATGTGTAAAAACAGGCAAAAAAATTAATTAAAGTGGATCGGAGGAAAATTCAAGTTAAAAATAACTTTAAAAAAAATATTTAAAAAAACTAAGTTTTGGTCATTTAGATAAGTGCAGCAATAGCCACTTCTAAGCCCGCTATTTAAAATATATCCACAATTTACATTATATTTAAATATTAGCCAATTCACCTAAACTTCAGGACTAAGTATCCTGAATTTGAAAATTCACGACTTAGTGTCCTGAATTTTTGAGCTGCTAATTTGAAATTTGGGACCAAGTGTCCTGAATTTCTGAACTGCTACTTTAAAATTCAAGACATAAGATTCGAACTTCTTGACACAATTTTCAAACTTTAGGATACGATGTCCTGAAGTTTGGACTTCGAGATTTAAACTCTAGGATTCTGTATCCTGAAGTTTAAGCAAAATTGGCTAATCTTTAAATACATTGTAAACTGTGAATATATTTTAAACAACATGTTAAAAGTGCCTACCTGATATCATTTCCACTCTAGATTATGATTTAAGTTTTCTAGGATGAAGATTTTTTTTACAAAAATAAGTTATCAAAGCTATACATATACAACTATCAATAGTAGATGTGTACTACTTAAATCACAAATTTCTTCACACACTATAAGGGGATATAATTCAAAATACTTTAGGGTAAATGTTTGTTTTTTCTTCCCTTGGCATTGGAATTCCTACGCTCGTCAATATATCAACTCAACCATTCAAATATCTCCTTAAATTTGACCTATTTTCCAAATAAATTGAACCTTTGATACCATATTCATAAAAAAGGTATGGCCATAAATTCAATGAATACTTGCAAAGTGTCAAAATAGTATAAAATAATAGAATTAGGACACTATAGGAATAGTCTTTAATTTTTAGTCTTTGAGACAACTTATGTGATTAATGGGCAAATCTTTAAGGTCAAAAGTCACAAATTTTGCCCCATGGCCAAAACCGGTTAAACTTGAAGTTTTGCCTATTAATTAGGTGAATTGCCGCAAAGGTCAAAAATTCAAGGCTAGCTCTTTCAGGGTCATTAATGAACTTCACGAGCAATAATTATACAAATGGGCCAATGGCTTGCGGCCCAACACTAACAGAAGCTGAAAACGAATAAGCCCATTTATGTTGGGCCACAAATATGGGGCCTCTGCATTATGGACTCCCAACACTTTTGTTATCAATGCTGCTCAAAGGGCTCATCCACAAATTTACTTGATTGCCGGACGGATTTACTGTTTACTTTTTCTTTTCTTGTCTGTGCTTATAGATTAAACAAACAGTGAGATTTCTATGGGATTCAAATCATAAGCCATATTATTAAATCAAGGGAGAAATTCATAAATAGCCAGATTTACAACTGATCGTTCAAAAATAGTCTAGTTTCAAAAGTAATCGAAATTTAGCCACTTTTTATGTAAAGAGAAATTTGAGCAAAAACATTGTTCAAAACCCGGAAAATACGCCAGTATATTATACTGCTTGAACTCCAGCATATTATACTGGAGTTCCAGGATAAGTATGCTGGAACTCCAGCATAATATGATGGAGTTCCCGCATAAGTACACTAGAACTCCAGTATAATATACTACTGGAGTTCCAGCAAGTATAATTATCCAGTATAGTATGCTCCAAACTCCAGTATATTATACTGGAGTCAGCAAAGTATACCGGTCCAACATAATATGCTGGAGTTCATACACAGGTGCACCGAACTCCAGTATATTATGCTGGACCGGTCTCTGTTGCAGCAAAATAGTGGCTATTTTTCATTAACTTCGTAAATGCTGGCTATTTTTGAAGGACCAATCCGAAAACTGGCTATACCGTGCTATTTTTACTTAAATCAATCATCATGTGTCCATAACCATGCATGTTAAAATTCTTAGTCCGCACGCTACTGCTCCTTTGCTTATAATTTACTCACTCTACTAAAGTTACGATTTGCTAAAATGGCCAAGTTCTGGAAACTGTATGAAGAGTAAAAAGAGTTGAAAGAAGGAGAATGACTATATAAAACTTATTAAAATATGTTAGCTAAATAGTGGCTTGTTTTTGATGAAAATCAAGCTTTTTGTTAAAGATATAATTAAACCAAAAAAAAAAACGTTCTTATGCAACAACTTAATCTAAGTCACACACTTTTACAATTGAAAATAATACGGGCTAGCCAGTTTTCAAACTGGTAATTAAAAAATAGCCAATATTTCAAAAGTTATTGAAAAATAACCCCTATTTTGTTGAAACACGAAAAGTTCTATTATATTGGATTATAGAGCTCATACAGATAAACTTTCAGCATATATATGATGAAGAGCTCCAGCACACGGAAAGTTCCGGCATAATATGCTGGATCAAGGAGCTTCTGCTTATAAACTTCCAGCATATTATATTGGAACTCCAGCACACGAAAAGTTCCGGCATAATATGCTGGATCAAGGAGCTCCTGCTTATAAACTTCCAACATCTTATATTGAAACTTCATTGCATTATGCTGGAATCTCATATGTAAAAAAATTCGAACTCTAGCATATTATGCTAGTTTTTTTTTTTCGAATTTTTAAGTGTGTTTTTGTTCAGATTTTATCTTTATATAAAAAAATGACTAAATTTTGATTATTTTTGAAATCGTGGCTTTTTTTTTTATTTACTAATTATAAATTTGGCTATTTCTAATTTTTCCCGCTTTTACTAATAAGCCTTTCAATCACATTCATTGGAATATAATAAATTAACCGAACAACGGTCAGGGGTCACTAAACTTCGAACCCATGATCATATTACTATATACGAATTTTACAATCTTAATTGTCCCTATGACTGAATATTTGACTGACCATTTTGAGAAATAATTGTTGAAAAAAAATACAAGTCGTCCGTTAGTTGCTCATTTACAATATTTTCTATAGAAGTCATATTTTGACCAAACAGATTCAAAAATATATGTTGGTGATATTATATATTTGTGTGCAATATTTGATGTTAGGCTAGAAACCCGTATTTTAGCCGTAGTATTACATGCCAATGACTGCATTTTTTACGTGCGTTTGAGTTCAAATGATAGTGAATTGCACTTAGTACGTGTTTTATGCCTTGCAGGAATTGATCCTGAGCTCAAAAGTTAATTTGGAGCTAAATTGATCAATTTGGAGCTTTAAAGTCTAAGTAAAAGACCAATACATTAAGCCGGGATCGTGTTCGGAGGTCGTGTATCAAGTCTGGATGTTAAAAGAGGACGAAATAAGTTCACTCTGAGAAAATTACACTGCCGTGCCGCTTGGGGCGCCGCAAGGCGCGGGGCAGCAGTGTAAAATGCTGCCTGATGCGAAAAGTTGAGGTTGCTAATAAAATGCACTAACGCGCCGCATGGTGCGGCGTAGCATGCGGCGCGACTATTCAACTTTTACAGAGCGAAGTCCTAGTTCGCCAGGAAAGAGTTTTTTCGTCTGGGCCCGACCCTACTTGGTATAAATACATGTAAAAACGCTGTTTTGAGGAGGTTGGACATACTTTTGACATATTTTAGACCTAAGGAGGCAGTGACACAATAGGAGCAAGACGGGGAATTCTTCTACGAGTTTTTCCTTCCTCTTCCTATTTTTCATTGTTTGTTATGACTTTTAGTATTGTAGTTTTACATACTATTTTGAATAGCTAATTTGTTATCTAGGGTTTTGATGGAACCTTTTGTAGGATAAATTCTTGTTATGTTTTTATATAATTGAGTCATAGTATAATCTCTATTTGTTCAACTACATTCTTGTTGTAGTTAATTGATAGGATCCTCAATTAGCTGTTCCTATTTAGTATGTATTACTCGGGAGAGAATGTATATTTAGGTAGTTGTTGAACAACATCACTCCAGACGTATGTGAGGAATCGATAACCAAGGGTTTAAAGGTGGGATTAGGGATAACGAAACTTTGGGTGCAATCTAAGTGAGCTGTAATTAAAGCCAGTTAGCGTAACTCAGGAGAGTATGTCTAGTAAATTGTCGTAATTACTCGGGAGAGAATTACAACACGCAGAGCGCTCATGATCGGCAGAGAATACTTAAACGAAAGTATAGAAGACATAGCGGGAAGGATTCCGACAATTGGGGAAATCGTAACTCTAGACCTCCTTAATCTTGTCTCTAACCCTTAGTATCTTTAGTTGTTAATTTACTATTTTAATTTGTTAGTTAATTAGTTAAACACAAGAATCTTATATCTATAAGTTAGGAACTGTTCAAGCTTGTCTTCTTGGTGACAGTGAACAGCTGTAGCTAGACCTTAGTTCTCTGTGAGATTCGACTCCGGACTTGTAAACCAGATTATATTTACAACAACCACTTAGTCCTTTTTATAAGGCATAGTTGGGCGTGATCAATATTGTTATCCAACTAATTTAAAAAATAAGAATAA